TCATAGATTGTACAAGGAGAAGATGAAGAAGTGGCACGATAAAAGGATCAGGAACAGAGATCTAAAAATCGGTCAGAAGGTGCTACTCTTCAACTCCAGACTCAGACTGTTCCTAGGTAAACTCAAATCAAGATGGACCGGGCCTTATCAAATTATTAAAGATGCAGGAAACGGAACTTTCGAAATCCAAGGTTCAGAACATGGCCGTTCCTTCAAGGTAAATGGGCACAGGTTGAAGCTATACAATGATGAAACCTTTGATGAAAAAGAGGAAGTATCCCTCTTTTTGAAACCCCTTGAAAGGTAAGTACCATGTCTAGCTAAAGACATTAAACTAAGCGCTGACTGGGAGGCAACCCAATAGATACATTTGCTCTCTGACAAAGAGCAAAGTTTTGGGGTGGTTATCCATAACCACATAGCTCCCGAAAAAGAGGGAACGTCTGATGTTCCTCTCCAAAAAGTCCAAATAAAGTACGTTCCAGGAACTTTGTTTTGGGGTGGTCCCTAACCACAGACCTCCACAATGAAAAGGAGAAACCCTCCTATTTATCTTAGCTTAGTTGTTTTCAGTTCTGTTTTAATTTCTTTTTCTTTCCGTTCCCTTGTAATTAATCTTTTTGCAATGAAAAAGACCTTTTTTTGATCAAACTGTTTGGTATATGCATGCATTTCAGTTGTAGTATTAAGACTGCCCAATTCTTTTGGATTAACTAACATACATGAAACACAAAGTCACTGACTAATCATGTTTGTTCTCTCTCTGAGTACTTGAAAATAGAAACAGTGCAGGGAATTTAATCCTCAGATTTTTGAAAGAAGCTGATCTGTGTGAACTCAAACTGGTAAGGAACGGAAAAATGCCAAACACCTACTTCTGAGAGCGTTCCTGAGGTGTAACCACAATGAAACTTCTCAGCTTGCCTTGATGCTGTAAGTACTGCTGAAGACGGATGAATTCTGCTGTCAAGGATCAAAACAGAATCACACACTCACCTCACCCCCATCATACACCATCTGGTCAATCAAAAGAACAAGGAGCGTACTCAACAATGAACAAAAAAAAGGACAGAAGAAAAACAAAGAAAAAAAGGGGAACAACCATTCAATAGAATTCAAGAAAAACCAGAAAACCTTCCTCCAAAGGGGGAAAAAGGTTCAAGAAAAGGTGTTCCCTCAAAAACAGAAAAAGTCCAAGTTCAAAGACATAAAAGCTAAATGTTCCTTGATCCCACAAATCAGACCACCACTTCTTCCACATTTCCATACACTTACCCATCATAGAATCCTTGGAACGGAAGACAGCTGTACTTCATAGGAACGCAGCAGAAAGGCAAGTTCTGAAGAATCACATCCAGGGATGGACAGAGCAAACACCAACCCATGAGTGACAGTGAGACAAAAGATCAGCAACCTTATCTTATCTGAGGACAGAATCCTCTTACTGTTTAATATGAAGAGTAGTTCATTTTTTGAAAAGTTCATGGTTGCTCACTGGCTCAAGGTCCTTTCTGTTGTGCTATTCTTTTAAATTGGGCAGACTAATACAATATTCCTGAGTTGTTTGAGGACAACCAAAAGTTTAGTTTTGGGGTGTTTGATGGGACGTAAAATCGTTCCCATCTAAGCCCATTTTGATGGCAAAATACCATATGTTCCCTCATCTGATGAGCAACTTCAGCATGAAAATCACTTGTTTTACACATTTGTGACAAAAACACAGTGGGGGAACAGATGGTAACGTATTCCTTCAGTTGTAACTATAGTTAAGCGACAACCCCTCTTCCCTTCTCTGTAAACAACCATTAAGACTCCTCACGAGCAAATACCCATCTTTCTCCATTTTCTGTTTCTTTTTGTAAACTGTCTTTTAAATTAATATAAGTGTTTTTCTCTTCGTTCCAATCGTTATCTCTTGACTGAATCTCGGGTCTATGTGATCTCAGTAAAGAATAATTATGTTTAAACTATCAGCCATGAGCTGAACTATCTGTGGAACGGGTAAACTGTGAAACTCTTAAAGAACTGTTTTCAAAACTCTTGACCGACGCTTTTTGTATTTCTTTGGCTAAGTAAGCTATATTCATTGTGCGCCAATGGAAATTGGGTACATACTGAGAAAGGAACTTCCATAAGGAAGGGATTTCAGACAGCTTAGCCATTGGGGGAAGGTAGATGTCATGGCAAAAACGTTACTGGTCACCTTAGGAATAAGGGGCCAACTCGTCCATTTTAAGGTTCTGAACTAAGTACCTGTTGGAGTCAAGGGAGCCATAGGAATATGAAAACTTGTGAGCCATCTAGACCATGAGCTGAGGAATCAGAGTTGGCAGGCAAAGAAACTGGGACAAAGCCAAAAGGTGCTAAGTATTGAGCAGAGAAAACAGCCCCTTTAAGAGTGAAGCAGTGAATCCGTTCCTTCTGTTAAACTGTTTTAACCACCACCCTGTTGTCTCTTGATTATAGTTATTTCTGTTTTAGTAATTTTATTTTATTTAGTACTTATAAAAACTCCAATGATTGTCATCTCACCTTCTTCTAAACAGGAAGGATCACATACATAACGCAGCGAGCAACTGTTTGCCATCAGGTTGGACCTACTGTTCCTAAGGAACGTTGTCAAGACAGTAGGGAACGTTTGACCAGACAGTTCATTTACTAACTTTTCTTCTCATTTTCACTCTTTATAAACAGTGATAAAACAATAATTAACACTTTATCCCCGTGGGAACGATAATTTGGGCATTAATACTCCCTTTATTACTTGATGCGTGCACTTGCGCACTTGGGTTGGAACTGAGGCACGAATCTGTGTTCTGCAAGAACAGAAGAACGTCCTCTATCAGAACTTATATTTTTCCACCATCAGCAAACCACCCAACATCAGTCAATAATATTTTATGCATACAAAAAGAAGGACTGATACCTTTAAGATCTGCTATGGTCCAACCAATAGCTCCTTGATACTTTTTAGCTTGCTAATCAATAGTTCTTCTTGTTCCTTGGTGAGGAGTGAGGAGATGATGACAGGAAGAGTGTTGTCATTCCCCAAGTATGCATATTTTAAATGTTGGGGAAGCGACTTCAATTCTAGATTAGGAGGCTGCTCTACAGATGGTCTCTTGACTTGCTTTTCTCTTTCAGTCCTCTGCAAGAGCTCAGGTCTTCTTTCTTGTAGGTAAGGAATCTGTTCCTCCTCTTGTGAACTATTTTCTTTTTCTGCGCTTCATCATCTTTTTCTGATTCTTCATCATCTGAATTCAAGTTGGTGTGGTTACCTAACACGGCAATCACAAAGCATTCTTCCAAATCTTCTTTTTCATCAAGGAACTTCATTGCCTTCAGGACATTGAATTTAATTTCATCATCGTGTACTCTCATGGTGAGTTTCCCTTTCTGTACATTGATGACTGCTCCTCCAGTTGCAACGAATGGTCTTCCTAAAATGATGGGAACGTCAACATCAACTTTATAATCCAGGATGATGAAATCAGCAGGAAAAATGAGCCTGTCTACTTTGACCAACAAATCTTACACTTTTCCCTCAGGCTTGACAATGGATCTATCTGCCATCTGTAGTGTTACAGTTGTGGGTTTCGTTGGTCCAATAGCTAATTGTTTGAAAACTGAGGAGGGCATTAAATTGATTCTTGCCCCCAAATCATACAAGGCTTTGCCTTGGTAGGTATTTCCTATTACACAAGGAATGGTGAAACTTCTAGGATCCTGCAGCTTTGCCCAAATATTTGCAGCTTTCTTGTGTCATGGTCACAGTTTCACATTCTTCTATTCCTCTTTTTTTGGAGAGAACATCTTTCATGAACTTGACATACTTGGGCATTTGTTCTAGAGCTTCCACCAAATGTATGTTGATATGAAGCTGCTTTAAGATGCTCAAAAAATTTTCAAACTGCTTGTCATCTTGCTGCTTCTTCGTTCTTTGAGGGAATGGAATTTTAGCTGGTATTTGTCTAGTTGCTTGACTCCTTTCAACTTGGTTTTGATCACCAGCTAGAGTTCTCTTTTCAGGTTCTTGATTTTCTTCACCAGCTGCTTGCCTTGGTTGTTGATGTGCAATACTTGGAGATTCCTCCACTTATTCATCACTTTCCTCTTCAGTATTCATGGTTGTGGTCTTAGGAGTGGTTGAAGTTTGTGTAGTAATTCTTCCACTCCTCAAAGTGGCCGCTTTGATCTGTTTTGGAAGGGATTCTGAGGGAACGTCAGTGTCTCCTGGTGGGTTGATGGGTGTTCTGGTGTTCAGGCTAGCAGCTATCTGTCCCAGATGGGACTCAATATTTCTAACAATCACATTGTTCCTAGTAACATATTCCTTGACATAATTCTCCAATGTACTGATGCGTTGTTCTTCTCTAGGGAACGGAGCACTGTTGGATCTTCTTTGTGGATCATATACTCCATTTTCCCCACTGCTGCTTTGTTTATATTGTTGCTGCTGATTGTTGTATGGTCTTTGGTTCATGGGTGGCCTCCATTGAGGATTATGGTTCCGATCTTTCTGTTTGGTTCCTCCATAATTTTGATTGTTGTTGCGTCTTGCATATTGATTGTCTCTGGCCTAAGTGAAGTTTCTGTTCCCAAAGTTTTCAGCATAACATACCAAGGCTGTGGATGGGCAGTCTTTTGAATCATGATGATCACCACATGCTGAGTATGGTTCACTCTCAGAATTTGTGAGTTGTAAGACTTCCATTCTTAGTTGTTCCTTGTCAGCTTTCAGATTCTTCACTTCATTCATTAGTGCAGCCAGTTGAGCTTCCATGGCGGTTTGCTTATCCAATTCTAGCATGTATGGCTTCCTCACTGGGCTTATTCTTTCTAGTGGCCATTGAAGACATCTTTCTGCAGTACCTTCTATTATCTCATATCTGGATTCAAGAGTTCCTATGAAAAAGTATCCTCTTGCAGGAAAATCTAAATGTGATTGAGAAGTATGGTCAATTCCCTTATAAAAAGATTGTAAAATCCTCCATTTTCCCACTCCATGGTTAGGACATTTTCTGATAATGTCCTTATACCTCTCCCATGCTTCATAGAGATTCTCTCCATAAAACATTCTGAAATTAGAGAGCTCTGCTCTAACATTAGCTTGACGAGACATAGGGAGAAATCTCTCTATGAACTTGTTAGAGAGTTCTTCCCATGAGTATATGGATCCTGGGGTAAGGAATTTCATCCAGATTTTGGCTTTTGAGCCCAAAGAGTGAGGGAACAGCCTCATCCGCATACTTTCCTCTGTCACACCCTCAATTCTAAAATTATCACAAATATCTTGAAAGTTATTGAGGTGTGTATAAGGATCTTTTGCAGGAAGTCCCATAAAAACTCCAACCTCCCTAATCATATTAAACATGTTAGGTTTAAGCTCAAAGTTGGGAACTACAACATGAGGGAGGATTACTCCTCTTTCTGGTCTGTTCCTTGAAGGAGCAGCTGAAGCTCTGAAGTTCTGTTCAGGAGGAATCTCTTCGTTATTGTTATTATTATCAGCCATTTTTGTTTCAAAAATATTTTCTCTTAGATCTCTTCTTCTCCTGTGAAAAGTGCGTTCAGGTTCAGGATCAAAGAAGAACTAAGGAATTTTAGTGGAGTGGTGATAATCTGTTTCAGATTTTTCACTCATAAACCATAAAACATAAACAGTATAAACAACAGAGTATATAATAAAGAATTAACAAATGAAATATATACAGAGTATGAACTTAAAACAATATTAAGGACAGAATTTAGTGTAACTATCCACGGCAACGACACCAAAAACTTGTTGGGTGTGAACTTGTTGGATGCTTAATATATTCTATGAAAGGACGTTCCCTTAATTCAGTTCATCAAGAAAAAACACATTCGTTCTCTTGACTTCAACCCAAGTGCGCAAGCGCACGCATCAAGTAATAAATGAGACTATTAATGCCCAGATTATTGTTCCAACGAGGATAGATCTCTAAATTATACCTTAAACTATTTTATAAAGAATTAAAAATGAAAAGAAAAGACAGTATTTCAACTATTTGGTCGAACGTTCCCTACTATCTTGACAACGTTCCTCAAGGATAGTAGGTTCAGTCTGACTTCAAACAACTCCTCGCGTCGTTATATATGAAATCCTTCTTGATGAGAGAAGGAACAACAATATTTATTGGAGATTTGATGTTGTTGTCACAAGATTTAATAAAAAAAATAACAATAGCATAACAATAATTAAGAGACAACAATATGGGTGGATAAAAACAGTTTTTAACACAAGGAACAGATCCACTGTTCCATTCTTAAATAGATATATTCTCAACTCAAGACTTAACCCTTCTGAATTTGTTCAGGTCTTTTCACTGCAAACTCTGATTTCTCAGCTCATGGACTTTAATGGCTCACAAGTTTTCATATTCCTATGGCTCCCTTGACTCCAACAGTTACTAAGTTCAAAACCTTCAGTGAACGAGGTGGTTCTTTTTTCCTAAGGCAACCAGTAATGTTGTTTTCACAACACTACCTTCCATCTCTGATTAAGCTGTTTGAAATCCCTTCCTTATGGAATTTCCTTTCTCAGTATTAGTTCAATTTCCATTGATACACAATGAATATAGCACACTTAATCACAAAAATACAAAAGCTTCAGTGCAAAAGTTCTGAAAATAGTTCTTTAAGAACTTCGCAGCTTTTTCGTTCCACAAATAACTTAGCCTATGGCTATAACAATAAACATGATTATTCCAAACTAAAGTCTCATAGACCCGAGATTCAGTTCAGAGATAACAAATGAAAGAGAAGAGAAATAACAACTTATATTGATAAGAAACAATTAGGTTACAATAAAATAAAATAGAGAAGTATGGTTGTTGCTCGTGAGGAGTCTCAAATGGTGATATAGTATAGAGGAAGAGTGCTATCACTTAACTACTGCTAAACTATACAACTGAAAAGTAAAAACTACAAATAAAACTAAGTGATCTCTTCTTAATGAATTCGATGATTTTTTTGTGTTGGAAAGTCCTATTTATAGGCAGAAGAGTGGGTGGAAAAACTTGTAATTTTCATTGAATTATTTTCTTGACTGCATGAAAGGGGCTGTGTGAACAGTGCTCATAGGGACACAAGTTGCTAGATGGGACACTTATTGTTGAGATTTTCCTTTTCTTCTGCACTTCCCATGCCATGCTTTCCTCTTAGCCAATGGGAACTCTTTCTTCTCTGCTAGTTTTGTAATGCCTGGCCGCTTCAAGAATCAATTATTATCCCCACATACTAACACGAGACTTTTCAGTGTGCTTTTTCCTCACTCGCACACTTCCCGGGAAAACTTTCCAGGAGGTCACCCATCCCAGAATTGCTCCAAGTCAAGCACGCTTAACTACGGAGTTCTTCCGTTCTGAGCTACCGAAAAGTAGATGCATCTTGTTAGTATAGGTAGTACCAATAAATTCTTATAAGTTATCCCAAACTGTGCAGTCTCACACCTGCACAGTCTTTGGAATCCCTCTCTTTCGGATGTCAATTCTATTCATTCATGCATGTAACCCCCTACTGGAAGCCTGTCAGGAGCCACTCCTTGTCCATTCCTCTTTGCATCGGCGATCACTCTCCGCCCTCGTCAGCGCTCGGGATGTTACATGTTCACCAGCTTCTGCCTGGTTCGTCCTCAAACCACACCGTACTGGAAGAGAGGCCCTGCTTTGATACCACTTGTAACGCCCGGCCGCTTCAAGAATCAATGACTATCCCCACATACTAACACGAGACTTTTTAGTGTGCTTTTTCTTCACTCGCACACTTCCCGGGAAAACTTCCCAAGAGGTCGCTCATCCCGGAATTTCTCCAAGTCAAGCACGCTTAACTACAGAGTTCTTCCGTTCCGGGCTACCGAAAAGTAGATGCATCTTGTTAGTATATGTAGTACCAATTAATTCTTATAAGCTATCCCAAACTGTGCAGTCTCACACCTGCACAGTCTTTGGAATCCCTCTCTTTCGTGTGTCGATTCGATTCATTCATGCATGTAACCCCCCGCTGGAAGCCTGTCAGGAGCCGCTCCTTGTCCATGCCTCTTTGTACCGGCGATCACTCCCCGCCCTCGTCAGCGCTCGGGATGTTACACTTTGACTTTGAATATTTGAGCCTTCTTTCTATGTTTGCACTTTGTTATAGGCTCATTGTACCATTTGTAACTTGTTGCCTTGCCCTGTAATGTTAGCTTTCATGTTGAGCTATGTTGGTACTTCTTGGTGCTTTGTTATCATCAAAACTTCATAAACATAGTCTTCTTGACCTATGGTTCAACACATTCAAATAATAATTAAACACATTCCCATTCATTATTCATAAGGTAGTCAAATAGCATAGATTAGGGTTCATAGAATTCTTTTATAATTTTTAAACTTTAATCTTAATTCTAATCACATTTAACTCCCACTCTAAGCATATTTCCACACACTAACATCAACTTGCCAAACTATAAATCATGATTCCTCATTAACATGACATGAAAACAATTTCTTAGATAATTATTCCAATTAGGATTGGAAATATTCTAAGTCACACCCCATGGATGCCATTATTGGAGAAATTTCAAAGGTGTTTCTACTATAAGTTTTTGAAGGAATGCTTGCAATCATCCAGCTTTTGTTTCTCAAGTTGAACCCAAGCTCTTGATGAGAATTCGATGCTTTCTATGCAAGAGGAGCTCAATCAATTTATTAGGAATAAAGTTTGGGAGCTTGTCCCAAAATCAAATGATCATCAAGTCATTGGCACTAAGTAGATGTTTAGAAACAAACTTGATGAAAATGGTGTCATGACAAGGAACAAGGCAAGGGTAGTAGCTAAAGGTTACAATCAAGAAGAAGGAATAGACTATGATGAAACCTTTGCACCAGTTGCAAGACTTGAAGCTGTTAGATTGCTACTTGCTTATTCTAGCATATATGATTTCAAACTATATCAAATGGATGTCAAATCTATATTTTTAAATGGATTGATTTAAGAGGAGGTATATGTTCATCAACCACCCGATTTTGAGTGGTAGGACTTTCCTAATCATGTTTCTTGATTAAAGAAGGCTTTATACGCTCTAAACAAGCTCTGGGAGTTTGGTATGAAAAATTGAGTAAGTTTCTACTTGATAATGAATTTGATAGAGGTAAAGTAGATACTATATTGTTCGTTAAAAGAAAGCATGATCATACTTTACTTGTTCAAATTTATGTTGATGATATCATTTTTTGTTCTACTAATGAATTTCTTTGTGAAGAATTCGCTAATATGATGACAAGTGAGTTTGAGATGTCTATAATGGGAGATTTGAACTACTTCCTTGGTTTGCAAATAAAGCAAGAGAAAGAAGGTATATCTCCACTTGTGCTCCTAGAGCCACGTTGTCCACACTTTGGGATTCATAACTGACCCGGAGATTCATGAAAGACAGAACCAAAAAGGTCGCCTTTAGAGTTAGTAGTTCAACACGCTTGAATTGTTTGATCTCAATTTTCTTGAGGGGAGCCCTCAAAGTGAAGACCAAGGGAGTCCGAATCATGGAGGGAAGATCGTGAAAAAGACCGACCTCCCAGTGCTCCCTCTTTAATAGCTTGATGATGTTGGGGTCGTCAGAAACCATCATAGCTGGAGGAGGTGAAGGCAGATCTAGACTAGCCTCAGAGACAAAGACGATTTGTTACAAACTCCCGCCCTCAGTTGATGGGGCTGACAGTCAACCTCCAGCCTTCTCTTATTTGGCACTGACCCAAGAGAAGAGCTGGTAGTGGGGGCCTCCCCCTTACCATGCGCCTATTTTCTTATGAAGCTCAAATAGTCCGGGCTCGACATGTAGGCTACAAGGTGAAAAAGAAAAGGAGACAAACAATGAATCAAACAAAGACAAGACCTGGCTATAACCAAGGTCATCCACCAAATTCGGCATCTAGCTCGACTTCAAATTTATGGATGAGCCTGCCAACATCAAAGATCACATAATCCTCTATGTACTTCATTAGTCCATTGGAGGCAATCCGCTTCGCCCTAGTTAGCATAGATTCCGGGGTTTGGTACAAATGGAGAAACTTCATAAATCGGAGAACCCAGCACAAATAGTGCTCTCTG